GCGTGTGCGATAGAAGAGCAAGATCATCTACAAAGTCTAGATCGTCCAGCTGAATCATAGTTTTCCACTTTATCCCATGTTCAAGACAGTATAATTACAGAAGATTTCAGAAAAGGTTTTTGTGGAGAGTTTTAGAAATTTCACAAGTTGAAATCATGAGTCAGTTGAAGCTAGACCACCATTGAAAACCTGGAAGCACTGGACGGCCGTTTCGTCCTGGTATGGGACTCCTCAGCAGTGCGCATCCACGATCCCGCACCACGCGGGGCTCGAAACCAGGACCTGCTGGCTTCGCGCGCGAGCACTTAACCACTAGACCACTGAGCCGGCATCCAACGGTGTTAATGTCTAACTTCAACCAATCCACGAAGTTGCGCCACCGTACACCATTGTCTTCAGTGAGTTGTTATCTCACAACAGACCGGTTGAACTCCACTGGTAACGGCTTCTCACTAGAACTCCAGGAGTTTTTCCTGAAGTCAGTCACTAGTGAGCAGTTGATTATTATCAGAAAGGGTTTTTGTGGAGAGTTTTAGAAATTTCACAAGTTGAAATCATGAGTCAGTTGAAGCTAGGTTTTCAATGGTGGTCTAGCTTCAACTGACTCATGATTTCAACTTGTGAAATTTACAAAAGATTTCGCTTAAAGGTCAAGATATTAGTTATTAGTTGCATATTATGCTTAAATGCTGACATCATAAAGACTTATCGTGATCATAGCATTGTTCAGTTTCTTTAATCGCACGTCAGTGAGTATCTGTGATAACTCACACAGCTCATGTGGGATCAGTATTCGTAAACTAAACTGGTATCATTATCCATATGAACCTCCATATAATTTGTTTTTGTTTCTCAAGCTATTTAGCCATTTGTTTTACAGGAAATCGAGTAGGTTGACGTTTAACAGTCATGTTATGTTTTAATTTCAACGACTCATTCTGTCAACTCCGCAGTCATTGTAACTGTTGAGACTCAGAATGATTCGAATGATAATCATTTCGAACTGCTGTCTAGTAAAAGTTTGAATAATTTAATTGAATTTCACAACAGCTACTAGTTATAATTTAATTGGTTTGGTTAATAATAATATTTTCGCAATGTTTTATGGGAATAATTCACTCGAGCTAATCACGACTTCTAATTTCTTAACTTTCAATTGGGCTTCTCTCTTTGAATATTCCTCAAAAGCAGATACCACATGTTCACAAGAGGCATGAATTGTTTCACCAGAGAGTATGTTACAGTTCCGAACGCATTAAACTTTCAATCAAGTAAAACGTTTTGACTGAATGTTCTGTTGACAATAATGATGTACCAAGAAATGCATACATATCCTTCCCACCTACAGATTCATAACATCGTAAATTCTAAATAGTGTCTTTCCGCCCATCACCGTGCGAAATTTTATTGTGATCGATCCTACTGTGGGGTTTGGAAACCAAATCCTAAACGACTCCAAATAATCTAATTGCCTGTATTTTGTGGTAAAATCGTCTCAGTAATCTTATGACACAGAAGCATATTTGATCATTGTACTAACTATGTAGTTAACAGCGTTACCTTGAACAAATTCTTATATGGACTTGATATCTCTTTATTTACTTAGACTCCAAACGACTTTTCCCATTGATCACCTACAGCCTTTAGGTGATACTGTACTGTAGGTTGCATTTCAGTAGCTTCCTTAGTAAGCATTATCTTCCACCCTTGAAACTTGCTAATAGTAGCAAACAGATCATTTATTCGTTATTTTATTTCATAAGGTTGTCGCTTTGCTTTATACGGTGCAATTCCCAATGAACATAGCAACCTATCTGTTACAAAGAACCATAACTAAGTAGAATATTTGGGACTTCTTTTTATCTAGTTAAAGACTGATGTTGTTGCTGTCAGTAAACAGATGGGTTTGATCAAAGCATATTGCTCTCTAAAAAGTTGAAATATTTATTTGAGACGGAATATAGAGGAAAATATGCGATATGGTGTGAGCTACTTATATCCACATAAGTAGTGTATAACGATGGTCAGATAGAATGTATTTCAGTGGAAGAACGGGAACGAAGAGCAATTGGTATGAAAATGCATAAACAATGAAATCTGAGACGATGGACTGAGATTGCAAAAGGAACAGTCATGTTTGATACAATTTATTGATACTTTGTAAATCGTCTATTTACTGTACGGTTCTCAGATCTTCGTGAGATTTTTGTGCTCAAATATATTTGGCTGTCCCCAATCGTGTTCTTGTTCACTACAGTGTGATCAAACCATGCATTAACACCTCTCGTACTTGATTGTTCGTAATTGCATTTGTCTGTTTACGCTTTATATAATGTGTTGTTGCTTGTACTTTTTGTTCTTAATTTCCTTTTTATTTGAGCTTGGTAGTCACTCGGAAAACCAGTGAATAATGTACACTTTAATTCATCGATATCTGTATTTACAGTGGCATGTCTTTTTAGAAGCATCTTCGTATATATTGTTTTTGCATATGAAATTTAACACGTGAATTGAAAAGATCTGTTGAAAGTACGATTCACGCGGACAAGCTACATATAATTTTCTCAACTAAACCAGTACTTACACAACGTATCAAGTATAGGCTACATACAGGGGGACTATGTGTGTATACCAATTCAACTGCTCCTGTGGAGCTAGTTACATAGGCCGTACTTAGGGTTTTAACCTTGTATGTTCATGAACATGTACCAGCATGGTTGGGAAAAGTTATTATTAAATTGATTAACAGTGCCATTCTTTCTCTCTTGGTAGCTAATGAACATAATATCAAAATAGAGAATACTTCCTCTATGTTTACCTTGACCTACGACTGGATACCTAAACTGAATTTTACAAACCTCTTACCCCCTTCCCATTTTTTAATTAGTTCTCTCTTAATGTTCATCCTATGTCCTCCTAGCCCTTCCACTTGAGTCCAGAACACAATACCAGCTTTTGTAATATGAATCGAATCGTTTATTACAGACATACTCTGTTTATATACTAATCAAACAAACCACATCGTACCATAAAATAGAAAACAATATTTGACAAGTGAAATAAATATTGATTAATAAGAAATGTCCATTTAAATTCTAAGGACACCATTAGACTTAACATGATAATTATTGGATAAGTATACAATAAGAATATTTATAGGATAATAGTCTATTATCAGTCCTCGGAAGTCACCTGTAACTTAATCTTCACTGGGTTATAACAGAATCCCAGAATTAACGCAATTGAATCAAGAATTACGACACAAGCACGAACGAATGTATTGTATTTAGAATTCGAATTGTACTGTTGGAGTGGTGTTTATTCCGTCCACTGTACAATAATTGTCCCACTGTTTTTTTATCAAAAGCTTACTGAATTTCCAATAAGCTACCCCCAACACTACAACATCAGATAAATCACCAAATTTTATCTGAGGTCTTTATTCATGGTTTTAGGTGTTATAGGAGCTATTTTCCGCCTGAAATGCCATCAGCTGGTCCTTTTTGTTAATAGCGATGGGATATATGTGACAGTCGATGGTTTATTTGGTGTATGTTCCAAGTTCATGCCTCCTCATTTGCTCGTTTACTTGTGTCTGTGTCGAATAAAGTGTGTATAATGGTGACCAATGATACGGTTGTTTTCGGTGGTCTTATGATACTCTCTTGTTAGTTTTGTTGGTGTATTTTTCCCGTGTCGCGGTGATATGTATCAGAGCCACGCTTCGGACTGACTTAGAGGGAAGTCGTTATACTGAGTGGGATGTTTGAGACGCCTCTTTCGCTTAATCCTTTCTTATTTACTAGTATGATTAGGAGCGAAAATCTATCGATTAATTTGTGCACGCTTCAAGGTCTCTTTATGAATTTATGTCTTCAGTATCAATCAATGCATGTAGTCTAGGCATTCAACTACTCCAATCGTAGTAAACTCAACAGCTAATTAGGAGTTTGCATGGTGCATTACAATAGAGTCTGGTTTGATATATTTACTTACTTACGCCTGTTACTATTCGTTGAGGATCATAGGCAGCCCATTAGAACTCTCCATCTAACCCTGTCCTGGGCAATACCTTACAGCTCTTTCCGATCGTCATTCATCCTTTACATATATGCTTCTATTTCCCGACGTAATGTGTTCATTGGCCTTCCTCTTCTGCCTTGAGGTTCACTATTGTAGACGTTGCTGTAACATTGGCCGTCTTCATCTACATCTGTTGCCGTGTGACATGGAAGACCTGAATCATCTGCGAAGTCCAAATCGTCTATTTGCATCTAAACTGTCCATTGTATTACGTGCTTCTCCTGAGATATGAAGGTCTTCATAATCCAGTCAATCAACCACAAGAAGAAAGAAAGCGCGAGAATAAGCAGCCTTGTCTGACACCGCTCCTCACTTGGAATGCATCTATCAGTTGTCCTCCATGCACGACTTTGCAATACAGCCCATCGTATGACTTCCATATGATGTTGACGATCTTCTAAGCTACTTTTCCTCTAGTGTCAAGGGTGGTTTCAAAAGGTTCCCCCATCGCCGTCAAGAAATCTGATCTATAGTGGCGAATCCCATTCTATTGATTGCTCAAAAATGATCCATACTGCTGCGATTTGGTCTGTGAATGATCGGTCCTTACAAAATTCGGCCTGTTGGTCTCGATGTTGAATGTCTACTGAGTTTTTCATTCAATTGAAAAGAACCCTGTTGAAACTTTTACTGGTACTGATAGTAGTGCGATGCCTTTGTAGTTCTCACACTTGTTCAGATCTCCTTTCTCTGGTATCTTGGTGAGGTATCCTTCCTTCTAGTCTGTTGGCGCTTGTTCTTCTTCCAAATCTTTCTAAATAGAATATGAGGCATCTTTGCAGTTACTTCTGTGCTTGAATTCAGTGCTTCAGCTGGTATGTTGTCTGGTTCTGTTCTCTTCTCAATTTTGATTTGTTTGATGACCATCCTGCTTTATTCGATCGCTGACGGAGTGACATCTATAGGAAGGTCTGTGTGTAGTATTCTAGAAAAAACAAATCTTAGATTTTGATTTTATCACAGAAGTTTGGGAGCAGCCATCATATTGACTGGAAAAGTAATACTAAAATACGATAGGATTAAACAAAACAAAATGATAAATTAATATTGATCAGGAAATTAATTGTTGGCTGTTACAAACAATATATTTGGATTTGATAAAATGTTGTAGAAAAATGGAATCATAAGTAAATAAAGGTAAGAAACAAGCAAAAAAATTACCTGACGAAGATGATCTGTATCCTTTTCGTCATTAGATGGATTTGTCTGCACAAAATCATCCGATGTAGGAACAGAATTTTCAGATGAACATTGATTTTCATTAGCTTTAACTTGAGCTTCGAAAAGCATACGTCTCTCAGCTTTGGACAAACATGACGAACTGTTGGATGCTTTTGGACCATTCTGCTCTCGAATGAAAGATGAAACCAGTTTGTCACGCAGACTTGAGAAAGAACAAAAACAGGGAACTAATTATAGTATTGCAGAAAGTGCTCATTATTTCATGAAATCGGGATAGATAGTATAAAATCATGTGTACCTTATTTCGACAGGAAGCTTTTAAAAAAACTATAAAGTATAAAATAAGAAACACTGTATAATGCTTACTGATCGGAAGTGGTACATTTGAAGACGTGAATCTTCCTCAAACAACAACAATCCAGCAAAGACTAGTTAAGATAAAAGAGTGATAGTAGGTTTAATTAAATTTAAGTGCTTTACTGACTGATTCGAACGGCAAACAGTTGGTATCCTGTCACTGTTCTGGAATTATTTAATATGGGAAAACGCATAGGTAATCAATGAATGGAGAGTAGATAATCGTGTTTAAACTTACGTTTTATTTGACTGGAATTTACTGCTACTATTCTGAGTCCAAGATTTATTGGATATTGCTTGTTCATCTGATAAACCAAACAATAAAAATAACTGACCAATTAACGAAACAATATTTAGTTGTTATAACTTTATGATCAATGTTAAAATACGGTGTAGTCGAATTTCAGATTGTTTATTGAGTCACACATTTGTTTACGAGTCTACAGCTATCATAAACTCAGCTAACATTTCATTTAAACCTCCTTTCGATATTGTTATTTGAATCGTTTTTACCTACACATTCTTAGAAATCTGATATTCACACAAAGAAAAAGTAAAGCATTACAATAAGCAGTCATGTGTAGTTATGATTGTTGTGAATGTGCAATGCTGAAGAATCCCAAACTAGGACGAAGCAGTTGTCCAGTGCTTCCTCGTTCTTAATAGTAATCTAAAATCGGTCTGTGATGCAAACCATAAAAATGTACGTCTTCATAAAGCCCCTATATCAAAACTTTTTTTCGGTCTAAGCAATCCCTAACTATGGTTTTACATAAAAGCAACTTCAGTTTTTAATAGTTCTATGAAATGAACAGAAACATTTAGTTCCAAACAGTACCGACCTTTGTATTCCGATCCCCAAGAGATAAGAGAAGAACCAATTGGATTTGATATATGAAGCATTTTCTCGGTCTCTTGACGCTCCAATCGCGGTATCCGGTAGTTTTCCTTCTATCATAACACACAGAAACATATAAATGGCATTATAATAAAAACAAATTCGAAGTAAATGATGATAATGAAATATATAACCAGTAAATCCTATAGATTTTAAAGAACTTACCGGTAATTTAGACCATTTTTCAAGCAGTCTACAAGCCAAAGCCTTGATCTCTTCTATCCATTCCTCATTCGTCTTAGCTTTACATTCTTCAGTATCCATATTTATTTCGTTGTTGTCGGCTGCATATCCGATTTCAATTTCACCATTATCATCATCCACAACAGTTACGGGGGACATATCACAATCAGAAGTTTGAATGATAGCGTTAAATCCTTCTTCGTAAACTGGGAGTGTCGAAGCATGCAACACACATGATGCATTCTCCTTCAAGGAAGAACTAAATGAGTCGGAACTCGAAGGTGATGCAGCAAAATCACTATTTTTATCACCTGTTTGTATCGAAGATGATTCATTGTCCTTGGTACTCTTAGAAACTGAAACATGAAAAGTAAATATTGTAAATCTTAGAATGAAAGTAGATCATCTCACAAGAAATTACATTATGGTGAATTTGTGCACTTAGATTTTTATGAGAAACAAAAGCCACAGAATCTATAAAAAAAATTTTCAGTATTAAGAGAAACAGTAGAAAAAACACAAGTGAACAGCTTCCGTAATTAGTAAGACCGAAGCTGCGCATGATACATTATGACATCAAAAGTTCCTAAACCTTTGAAAATGATGTATCGAATTCCCAACATTTATACATAAATGAGCTGCATATGTCAAGTTAGTTAACAAACAAGCAATGAAAACTGAATCCAATATTCAAACCTTTGGTGTAGTGGACAGTCTCTGACCAGGGTTTATTCCAAGTATTTTAAACAAACGTTTTAGTGTATTCAATGATAATAATTCATTAGTGTTAAAAGTTAATAAATATCCGTTTATAGTGTTAGCCGGAAAAGGTTTAAAACGTTTTATCCATCCAGCAATAAATAGATCTTCAAGACATCTAGAAAAATAAAGAACTACGTGACATCTCGTTTGGAATATTACTTATATGGTTATGAAAATCAATGAATAAATCCCACTTCCCGTGAATAGATTAACCATTGAAGCAAAGCTTTAAATGATATCTTGCGCCTTTCCCCTACTGTTTGGGTTCAAATGTGGAAGTAATCTGAGATACATGGGGCGTCAAGGGAGTTAGTAACAAGCGTTTAAGTACGGAAAAATAGAGCTAGCATCCTCGTATTGATGAGTAATTAGTCAGTTAAACAAAGGAGAGTATATACATCGATTTACCATAGCGATAAAGAGTTTGTGAGAATAGTGTGTAGTGAAGATTAACATGAGAAATAATGATGTCCGATGAAGTACCATAATAAGTGGCCTAAATTTAAGAGAAAATACAATCTGTAATTAATTTGTATCAAGTTTCAACGTGAAACAAAACATTGGACGAGAAGGAACGGAACAAAGTAATAGCTGAAAGAAGGACGGATCTCAGTGATAAACACCGAGTTTAGATAAAATACGTGAAAAGTAATTCCTATTTACATTACAATCGAAAATCTCTATAACCCTAAGTAGGGGTGTTTTTAAAGCGTCAATATTATAGAACTACACGGAAATGTCTCAAAATCTTGACTTTCACAAAGAGCAATATTAATTTCATTAGCACTACTAAAAGTACAACTATACAGGTTGTACAACATAAATACATCTGTAACTTCATTCACAATTCGTTCTTCGTTTTAATATTATGGCATCTATTTCACCCTACTCATCAAGTGTTCAGTTAGAATGGCATGAATAAACCGACAAGCCGCCAAATCTAAAGACCAAGAATATATTCTCCTACTGGACATTCTGAAGCAAACGCAAAAGCGCTTTGTGAATGTCTCCGGAATTCTGATGAAAAGAAAGACCAAATTCACCATAGTTTGTATTTTAACAGACGGAATGTTAGTTGAGAATAATATGTTCGTAAAGGATCGTTAGAAATCTTATGTTAAAGTTCGCATCTGTAATAGCAAGAATTACTAGTTTTTGAGTATGGTATTTGTTATCATCAAATTAATAAACCTAATACGATCGGTAAGCGATATAATTCATACCCAAAAGCTATCTAACTGACAGGGGGAATATGGGTGATCATGAGAAACATATGCCGAACTACTAGCTATCACTAAGTGGCTAGCCACTGCTGGTTGAGGAGAACTCAATATAGACTTGGTCTGTGAACTGGGTACTGTTGTAAATTGTGCAAACAACTGGTTAAACTAGAAATCATTTTACTATTTGTTTTTTGGTTTTTCGTGATGTTCTTGTGTTGATCTCTCTGAAGAACAGAAAATGGTGGTAAGCTGAAACAAAATATGACAATCTGTCCTTTTTACTGTTTGATATGAACAGATTATAAAACTATGGATTCAAATATATTATTTCCACTTAGATAAAATATGAAAATGAACTTTTTAACAAATAAATTGCCAATTTAATCATCCAACATACGTGATTTTGTTTCATCAGAGTCGAAATTCGACTCCATAGGGAGTTCATCAGTGGAAAATCTAACCAAAGTAACATTTGAAGTATCTAAAAGCAAAGTTCAGCAGTTTGAGCAACTTTACCTGCTATATGTACGTCAGCACTCTTCCACGACTCGGGAGGAATACTACGTGCCCGACAGTGGTGAGGATTGGAAGTCCACTGTGCTACTATTTCCATAAGGCGTGAATTCGACTGTACCTGTTTTTGCTCTGAAACAGGGATGTGTTTCAAGCAAACTAATATCTAGAAAGAAATAGATTTGCAAACATACATGAGATTTTCATTTTGTTAACGTATAAAATATATCGAAGCGCAAGCAAATAAAGTGATAATAAGCGAAATGCATGTGAAAGTAGCGCGTATGCACATATTATAATGAACGAGAACATAGGTGGGGACAACCGACTGTATTTAAATACAGAATCTCTTGGTAAAATATTAGAACCATACACTAAATACTTCACTTGAAAATTTTCATCATTTATCCTTCAAATTATGTATGATTCTTTCAGCCCACAATTCCTTTCTATTTTCCCTTCTATTCTCTTCAACTCGATCTTCTCAGCCTTCTGCTGCCAGGTTTTTCGCTTCCAACTGGTGTTACATACTGCTTATATTTGTCGACATAAGTAGCATACACCGAAATACAAGCAAATTTGTTATTTATATGAACTAAGTGAATTGAAAATTAACCACCACACTGGAAATTACCATGTGTAGGTATGAGACGGAAAAGTTTTAAGACACAAAGAGATACCTCAGTAGTTTAACAAAACATTTCGCACAAAGAAAAACAATTTTTCCATATACCTGCTTTTTGAGTTCCCAATCTTTCGGCGCTGCATCACACATAAAGGCCGCCAACATATCGAGACCATTATACTGTCGAAAAAGTTTAAGACAAGCATCGTTTTCTGTTTTAATCAGACGGCTGAGAAGCTGCAGTCGAGTGTACCTTGTAAGGCATTCTTGAACCATAACTTGTAATAACAGAGTTATATCGTCTGCATTTCTGAACGAATCTAATTGAAGGAGTTGGAGAATGCGTCTTTCAACCTAGAGGTAAAATGAATTTAGCAAAGGAATATGTCAACTGTGATAGATCCACTACAATTAGTAGAATGGGATAAAACGATTTCCAAATCCAAATCACGTCACGTAAGCAGTTGAAAATTAATTCTCAACTTTTTATTTGATATTCTTGTAAATAATGCAACTAATTTAACTAAATAAAAAATCCGTGTACTAGGCTATAAGCCATACTCTTTGTGAGGATAATTATTCGATTTGGGTGCACAAACCGGAGATAGGACGAGGTTCGGACCAGCGAATTAGGGATTGGAAGTCGAATGCTATAAGCAACTAACTGATCTTTGTGGTAAATAATTTGGGAACTGAGCATGTTGTTTCCTGCAGCAACATTAAAGGAACCTAAAGTAATAGAATGGATGAGGTACTCAGGATAGTCTAATCCTATCCTACTTGTTTTTGTACAAGCTTTTGAAGATGTTAGCAAATATATCGAACAGAAACCTATTTAGCCAGTGACTTCACTGCATAGTTTAAGTCAACTGGTCGATGGTAGTGTGATGGAAGCAATTCACAAGACTACTCGTACATACTGTGTAGTGGAACGTGGTGTCGAAGTTATCAAAGTCGTCAGACGGAGAGAAGAGTTTCAGTGCACCAAAATCACGGTGTAGGCAGAACACTTGATGACCAGGAGAGAAGACAGTTCGGGTTGAAGAACACACCGCAAGATGCAGATGGATGACCAGAGGTTATGCATACATACAGTGTAATTTCTTACAATAAAAATCCCTTTTGTTCATTGCCTTGTTTTACAGTAGCACTAACAAGATTAAAGACATTTACTATTGATCAGCAACACATGTGAAAGTGTTCGGGGACTTATGGAAAGATAAACACGACCAATCCATACAAGATGTAAGCAAACCTCAACTTGTTTTCCAACTTCTTATCAAAACTTCTTTTACGACAAATTTGTCTTCAGTTACCAATATTTTGTTCCATATTTTGGAAGATAGATATTAAGACAGCATTATTCTAGAATTCAATCGGCTCCTTGATCGTATATATATAACTGGCAGGTTGTTACGACCTATATTTCTTACGGCAAATTCAAACACGCAGACTCATGTTAACGGAGTGGGGAAGATCAGCCGGGTGCAGGTTTTCTTAACTCGATACTTGGTAAACTTTATCAGTGAAGGTACATTATGTGGGATCTTTCATTAGATCTATCCAAGATATGATTCATAAAAGCACTAAATGATGACAAGAAATTAACTCAGCAATAACTCAGCCCAATGAAACATTCGATTCAGTTACCCACGTGAATGATACAACTGGTTTTGACGAAACATCGACAAGATAAAAATATAAATCGCTTGAGACGCTAAATTACTTACTGAACTTATGATGAAGATAATAGTATAGAATCATGCACAACACACGCGAGTGCTGCAACAAAACATAGAGTTATTTGTGTCATATTACCTCCTTGAGTAGCACTGGGAAATTGTCCGTTAGTTTTTTGTGTATTTTTGTTAGTCCGAAGGAGTAGTATCTAACTTACAAATCCTAACCTGAAGCTACGGTTGCAAGATTATCATATAACTACTTAATCGCTCAAAACCTAAGTCACTGGTAACTGTGGTTCGAATTATGACACATTGAGTGGCAATAAGAATATTTTGCTAAGCCTTATCTCAATTCAAACGTGTACTTATGTCATGATAATTGATACTTGAAAAAAGGACGCCTAAGAACAGGTAGTATAAGGTCGAAAATGAGGAAAACTTAAGTCATCGTATTGATATTTTACTGCAAAATGTCTAGCTTTCAATTTTGCTCAGAAGTCAGTAACAAGACGACGAGTTTTCTATCCCAAACTGACTATGCATTTTTGACTGTTTCAAACTGGATTTGTTTCGCCATTTAGGACAAATTTAACTGCTGTCAGTTACGAAGTGTTGGCGATAAAAGTAGATAAAAAGAAATCACAAAAAGATACATTGCACGCACTAACAATCCATGACATACCATTGTAGTGTCTTTCATGCGAACTTTTTCTTGCAAATATTTGCTGGTCGCCCCCATTACACCAGAGCAGGTAGACGCACCACAATAACACTTTTGTTCAGAAACCCTGAATTTTACAAAACAATAAACAAAAATATAGAACGAATAAGTTCAAAAGTCAATATAGTGGTGAAAGAACAGATTTTGTTAAATGCGTCTTATTGGATGTTAATAAATTTACCTCATCCAATCATTTAAACTTGCCCCAAGAAGAATGGATACGATTGTTCGCTTAGATTTTTTTAATGTGAAGTGAGTTCAACCTGAATAAACATTGGTTTGAGTCAAAAAGGAACAAAATAAGTATTTTATAGTTAGTCGAATGGTGCCAGTTAATTTTACGAAACGGAAGAGTTGGAATTAAAAATCGGATTATGTATAATACCTAATAAGACGTATCTGTATATTTGTTTCAATTTGGGCAAAATTGGTCTCGAAGCTCGTGAGTATGCATTTGTGAATATAGGATAATAATATAACATCACCTTCTGACCTTAAACGAACATAATCTTACCAGGTTGCACACTGAAATCGGGATTTTAAGAATCACTCGTTATTTTATTGTCTACGAGCTCTTACGGTAAGCATACTTTAATACAGCTTATTTACTGAGTATAGGTTTACGCATTAAAATCTGAGCCATGATATGGATATATAGCACCACCTCCCAGACTGAAGTAGGATAGAGTTCTTTGTAAAAATCTGAACTTCAATAAAGACATTTCGGTACCTGGGATATATTTGGGTGAAACCATAGAAACATTTTATATAAAATTTCCTAAAAGCTGTGTGTAAGAATAAGTCTTAATTTTCGACCTAGTCACAGAGTAACTATAAAGCAAACGTAGTTTAGTATGATTATATAGTCACAGCTGATCCAAGCATGTAGGTTTAAATAAAAGCCTTTAAACCTCAATATTTCATGTACTTATTTTCAATTGCCGAGTGGCAGATTCCAACATTTTGCATACCGTCAAGAAATTCATGTAGTATTACTAACAGCGGGTTGATTTATAGACCTAAATTTAGCTGAATTGAGATACACTAATTGGGATTTTGTTCGGTTATTTGGATACATGACATCACTGGGATAAAACAAACTATGAACAGAGATTGTAGTGTGGCGTCGAGTCGCGGTTGACTATGATCACCACTACAGGAAGACTACGTGCCAGTTAACCGACAAGATCCCCCGTAAGTCAAATATCAGAAGGCAGTTGATGGCTGTAGTCGAGATGTATTTGCTGGCTATCTCGTGGTATCGAAAGAATACTGAGATCGTGCCAGGTTACAAGTGTGGTTACTGAGCGTAACCGAATTTGCGCAATGTCACAATCAACGGAAGGAAGAGTCTTTAGTACAGTTAAACAAACAAGTACAGTAAAACAATCACTGGTACAATTGGTTATAATAATAATTGTTTCCATTAAACCAATCGCGTTCTCTTGATAAAAGTAGGTCACTGCAAGATCATGAATGTCTAGAGAGAATCCGGGCTAAGGACCTTCTGTGACTGTGTTTGATCATCGTTATCTCCGAATAAACTGTCAGCATTTAGAGGTAACACCATGTTAGTAATGCAGAGGTTCGGATATCTGTGTTCGGGGGTGGTGACAACAGCCCAATTAGTTTCGTCATGTTGAAATACTGGCTCCAGTGGTTTGAATATGTACTTCAAATGTCTTCCAAGCGACTTCCACATCGTGCTTTGTTTCGTGACACTGGGTTCGGTTAGCGAGAGCGGAGGAATGATCAGTTTATGACACGCTGCTGAGGTATGAAAAAACATTGTATAAGACTGTAATCCATTGGTGCAAATTAATGTCTTGAGATATTATTAGACATAGCTCAGTCCTGTTGTAATTTGGTTTCACTTCTGGAAAACAAGAGGGACTTCTGTAACTAAAAGTAGTATTTCGGAATATTTTTTCACATGTACTGTTTTTCCTGTTCACTCACTTATTCACTTAATTGTTTTTTGATCATATTAACCCTCCATTGTCTATCTTTACACGACTTCATTCACTTATTTGTGTGGCAAAGATTTATTTTAGTGCCCGTTTTCATCAATATTTGTATTTAAATAAACAAACAAAACCTAATTCAATTTATTAAATTCCGACTTTCTATTGAAAATGTCTATACGTTCCTCCTTAATTCGAAAAAGTTATAGGCAGAACAACCAGGAATTTTCATCAATTTAGTCAAGTTACTGGACTTTAGATTTAGACATTTAGAACACTAGAATCATTTTAGGACACGTTAGACGACAAACCAACCAATATCGTTCAGAAAACACTCAACTATAATCAGCAGTTACCTGAGTAAGCATCTATCGAAAACTAACCACTGACACGTGAAACGTTATTGCTTCAAGGAACACACCAATATCACCAGTAGTTAATACCACTATTTGTGTGGATAGAATCCAAAGTCCTATCTATCAGCTGAAGTTTATCATTTTTAAATGATAAAATACGAATTAGATTCATTTAGATACTCATTACAATCATTTAGACTGTTTCCCAGCACAATCATTTTGACACGTAATTACAAGCTAGACACCTGGTAAATAAACATAACTGAATATTAAACACATATTACGAATCTCAAGGTTTATAGATAGTCAGTGCTGTTAAAAGTACTATTAACAAAACTGGTTTTGCTTTAACATCTACACAAAGTTGCTGCATTTAATCAAACTTCAGATTAATGGTTCCAATTTTAATTCTAATAATTCTCCTGTCACTAAGGACTCTTTAGATAATTTCGAATTTCATTTCGGTGGAGGTGATAAAAATCAGATTTTTGAAAAATTTAAATGACCTAAGAGAACTGTAAATAAACGCGGACTTCATTTTAGACATACTAACAGACAGTCAACTTGTGATATTTGTGGTGAAAAATCAGTGCCCTTGCCCTTCAACTAAATATTTTATATTTTGCTTAAACCTATCATGATACAATACAATCCCGTGTTGCAAACTTTGAATTTGGATCCTTGATTTTCTTGTTGAAGTTCTATATTATTACTCTTTCGTTATATTATTTCCAGGTCATAAAAAATTGGCAATAATTTTTTCTCATTTAAATCACCATATTGATACCAACATAGTAATAATAATATTATTGTCGATTGCTCATATAGTTTGTTTGACACAGGGAACTGAAAGCTAACTTCCGAAGTATACAGTATTCTATGACATAAAATATTGCTAAAAATTAATTACTTCACTTATTGATACTTTGAAAGATTATTCAATTCCGTGTCAATTTTGAGTAAAAGTAAGTGTAAATTTTGGGAGAAATACTAATTATTTACCCCAGACTTGGGAAAAGGATGACATTTTGACACATTTTTGCCTATATTCACTCCGATTTCTCTCAAAACATTTCCCCAGAGTTTGCCTTGGTTTCCTCTCCTTCTGGTGCTTAGATTGAAGCTAATAACTTAATATCTCAATACGTCTGTAATTAGTTTACTTATATCGACAACAAAAGTTGTCTTCAGTTTAGCCGTCGTGTACAGTATGTTGTCCGTATCTGATACGAAAGATAAAAGATAAGACTTAACTGTATGTTCGCAAGATATATGCACTTGAAAATAAGACAGTTCCTATGGTTAAAAGTGTAATGAATGAGGTTTTAATGAAAGTATATAGTAATTCTGTTTGGTCATGGATTATGTTCCGGCAGATTATATTTTATTTGGTGCCTGGTAATCTGTAATATCAGTGCGTTAAATATCAATGAGTATTTTTCTGAAACTCTGCTCTATACTCACTTTATTGTTTATTTTCTCAGATGACTTGACGTATTTTGTAAGGTGGCTCAACTGGAACATATAATATAGATATATCTGGTAATTTACTTGGATAAATATTTTTTTCAGGAATGGCTTCCTAATTCTGGTTTTAGTTCTTTTGACGAAATTCAGTATCGTAGGAAAACCTCTTTACAGATAACCATCTACGTGCACGGAGCTGAACGAATCAACGTTACCCACATGTTATTTGTTGATTGATGTCTACATCCAATAGAGATACTATTCACTTTTACCTAGGCACTCATATATGTCACACATTTTCTAAATCCAGCTATGCTAACTATAAATCGAATGTACTAGCTTGTATCATTTATGTTAACGACGTTATTACGAAATTAATTAATGAGCTTTATTATAAAAAGTATGTGGGTCTTTGGATCATTGTGGAGTGAATTTCTTTTATGTTACCTAGATATAATAACTCGACTACGTTATGATGATGGTATTGGTTAAATGGTAGATAACATGGAAAATGGTCTCCTCGTCAGTAACTGACTGACTGAGGGTCAGTAAAGGTCTCGACAAAAAATCTATAAGATTTTACACTACGGCTAGATACATTAGCCTTTTAATGAATTATATATCAAAAATCGGCCGATAACTGTTTGACGTCAAAATACGCAAAACTAAAGCAGTTTAACTGTACACATCTCAGTCTATCTAAGCCACTTTACATCCACGTTATATTCACATTTCTAAGTCAGATAATTGCGATATAACAATCAGATATGGAATGAATATATGTAATGATTTGAAGTAATGCAGAGGAATACCACGTAATGAAGCAGCATCGATTTTAAACAGAATGAGACTACTGTAACAAGGAAATAAGAAAAATCTAAGGAACAAAGTCAGTTAATGAGAGAAGCCGTAGCACTAGATGGCAAATATTGTTCACATATTAAACATTTCTCAAGTCACACACTACGTCCATTTATTAAAAGCGCTCTAAACGTACGAACCACACTGCTTGGCAGCCCAAACTATGACTGCACTTATTGTGTTCAACACTTAAGTAAACGCAGTATTTGGATATCTACACATGATCGAGTGGTCCGTTGATCTGACTCCGGTTTGATCGTATAATGATGTTAATGAAATATAAACGCCATCAACCCTCATATATAATTATCGGCCAAACTCACGTTAATGAATAGCGGAATAAAATAAGCTACATATGAGAATGAATTTTGGTTACGTACATTTCATAAACTCATTGATCCAAGCAGACAATCTAAGAAACTAGGTAGATTTGCAGATGGGAGAAAGCAAGTGCCAATTTGATTCGGTCAAGCGTAACTCTAAAAAATAGCCAGACGGAAACAAGCTAAAGACACGTGATGAGTAGGGTCAGCGGTATATGCACATACATCCATATAAAAACAGTCTACGTTATAAGCGGATAATTGACAAGATCGAAATGTGACTCGAGAAGAATAAATAAACTGGTCTGTCAGGAATCTAGAATAGCTCATGTGAACGTGACACAGAATGACATGTGACAACAGACATGTACATGTTCTAAACACGTCATAGTTGCGGGCCAATCAGAAGAGTTTGAGCGATTTCAAGGTCATGGCGTCTATTTCAGTACCCATTGCACACGTACGATCGGTTTACGGCAGAATCTAAATAAGACGTTATAATTATGTGACTACAACAAATAAGATTACTAAGAATTTCTCTAATTTGTGATTGCGGTAGCCAGATGACTCTTGGCTCTTGTGCAGACAGTTTCGATGTAGTATACCTTGGAGGAGAAAGACTGATAGAAACCCAAGCAACACAAAAAGGGGAAATAAAGGGGAAGAAAGGGTAAATAAAGCGGTCGAAAGGGGAAATAAAGGGGAAATGTCGCTTTTTCCCCCTTACGTCGTGTATTAGGGGGAAATTTGTCGACAATTCTACGTAACGTACAGTGTTAGAATGAATCGCATGCGGAACGGAAGTTTTCATAAACTTCGACAAATTTATGCACCGCAAATTAAAAAAACAAAAGTATTGTCATAGAAACAATGTACAAAATACGGAGACAGGCATTCGGTTGATACGCATATAGAGTGACTTCGTTTGTTGTTTAGCTGAAGTGTTCCGACATGCTTGGGAGCCATCACAAAAAACTTACGTGATGCAGGTGAGTGACGTGCTCTCTGGATTT